CGATCAAAATATTTCTAAACCCTATTCGCGGGTACTAGGCTTGGAAATTTTCTAAGAGCATGATTGGTATATGGGAATGGACCATGAATGGAATGATCATTCCTTATGTGATTCCCATTCCTATACTTGGTATGTTTTGCTCACAAGGAATGACCATTACCATGGAATCATTATTCCCATTATTATGGGATTGCTCATTCCTCACATAACCCATGGGATTACACATTCCAATTCCATTGGGAATGACTTTATTAATTTCTTGTGTTGCAACACATAATATTAAAAAATATTAAAAATATATATTATTAAAAATATGTTACTTTATATTTATATATATTATTAAAATATTATTTAAAAAATAAAATTCAAATAAAAAAATTGAAAACTAACTTTTATTTATTGATTAATTAAAAAATAAAAATAAATATTTAAAAAATATATTACTTTATATTTTTATATATTAAAATATATTATTCAAAAATAATATTCAAATAAAAAAATTGAAAACTTACTTTTATTTATTTCTTTATAGAAAAATAAAAATATATATAATTAAAAAATATATTATTTTATATTTTTATATATTATTAAAAATATATTAATGTAAAAAATAAAATTCACATAAAAAAATTGAAAACTTACTTTTATTTATTGTTTAATTAAAAATAAAAATATATTACTAAAAATATATTACTTTTTATTTTTACATATTATTAAAAATATATTATTTTTTATATATTAAATTATAGTAATTTTGAGAATATATTATTTTTTATATATAATTTAAAAATATACTATTTTTTATATTAAAAAATATATTATTAAAAATATATTATTTTATTTTTATACATTATTAAAAAAGGCATTTATATATAATTTATTAAAAGTATATTATTTTTTTTAAAAAAAAGCTTTTATTTATTTTTATAACAAAAAATCATAATTTCATTCCATTCAGGTCTCATTCCTTCTGCATACCAAACGCATCAATGACAAAATTTGTTCCATTCCATTCCCATAATCATTCCATTCTTCAATTCATTCCATTCTTACAAAATTTCATTCCATTATACCAATCATGCCATAAGTGTTTAGCAAGTCATGTAAGTATGGAATCAAGCTCTTAACATTGGACCTAAGTCCATGACCATGCACATCAAATCCAAGCGCCGTGCCTAAACTTATGTGCGTGCGCACCATCCCAATCCATTGTCGCGTCTAGCTCATGCGTTAATGCACCGAGAGCAATGCTATTGCCGTGCTTGTGCGCCATTAGTTATTTAACCGACCATCATTAGCTTAAGTTAAATATTGTCGTGAGCATGTTGTAGTAATTAGAAGTGATGCAACTTGCATGAGGTGACTCACCTATGTGCTTAGCTAATGTGGCATTTTAGTAGGCATATGAGTGATGACTAAGCTAAGTGAAACGCCACCTATGAAGGATGACTAGGCATGTAAATTGCCACCAAAGCCTAAGTTTGTGGCAAGTGGCACCACAAGATCAAGCCATATTTCTTATCTTCATCTTTTATTAGCTATTTATATAGTAGTAGCCGAGAGTAGTTTTTATCTTTCATTAACCAAGCATAGCCGAGAGAAAAGAGAGTGAAGTCGAGAGAAAGAAATAGCCGAGAGCATAGAGTAAGAAATGGAGAACATAGCTTACACATTAGCCATTGTTGAAGGGAAACACGCGCACTACCGAGAGGACGCAACGTGCACACGGAGCTTTACACTATTTCACGAGCAATCGAAGGGTAAACTCATGTCGACCTTCTTTTAGTAATTTTATGATCATTTTAGGAAGATCATGCATATAGCTTGTAGTTAAGTTCATTAAAGTGGCATATCGCACTCGGAGGTGCCAGTTAGGCCCTACCGAGCCATTTCATTTTTTGAACCGAGAACTCCCGATCATTTTATGTATTCTCGGTCATTATAGGTCATATTATGTTGAACCAAGTAGCCGTGGCCGGAGAAAGTCGCAGGACGGCCGATGAGGTGCCTGTCGTAGTGCCTGTCCGCACATACGTGCGCATCACGACCGACAGTAGCATGAGGGCTTGCGGGTAGCTCGCGTGCGCCCAGTTGTGCGTCGCGCGTAGCTCATGCCCGCAGTGCTCATCAGTGTACCGCTAGCGGGCGTGTGCATAGGCGTACATAGTGCACGCCAGTCACGCACGACAATGCGCAGCCAGACTGCGTGCATCCAACACCCATAGTGCGTAGCAAGCGTAGGCAGCACCCGACGCGCCAAGCCGCCTCGCAGCACGCGCGAACGTCCGTCAGCCAGCAGTGCCCAGACGCACGCTGGTGAGTACCAGCGTATGCAGCGTGCCCAACAATGCGCTAGCGTGTATAGTAGGCCTCGGCCAGTGCCCAACAGCACGCCCGAGCTCCATGTGCCATCTAGGCCGCCCAGCCCATGTGGCACCAGTCGCACTAGTGCGCGCGAGCAGCGTTGGCTAGCGTACCCAACTGCCTATCCGCGGTGCACAACAGCACCCGGCAGTGCTCGTACGCGTCAGTGCCGAAGCCAGCGTGCTCGGCAGTGGCCAGTCGCGCGTCCAAGTGCCCAGTCGCCATCAATCGTGCCCAGCAGCACTCGATGGCCATTTCTCGCGCGCGCGTTGTACTAGTTGCACCCGCCAGCGCTTAAGTCATGCCCAGTCGTGCACAGGCTAGCGCCTGCCACACCCAACGATAGCTAGTCACCACCAGCCGTGCCTAGCGGCACTTGGTGGGTACCAGTTGAGTCTTACCAACACCAGTAATGCCCGACAGCGTCCAGGCTGCGCGCAGTTCGCGCGTGCGACCGCGCCAGGGCACCAGCAGGCCCTGCACGGGACCAAGCCAGTTAGCTCGAGTCAGCGGCCAACCGCCCGACCACAGCGAGCCGGCGGTCCAGCCAGTCAGTAAACCGGCCAGTCTAGTCCGGTTATTCGAATATTCTATTGATTATTTTTCCAATTCGAGTTTAGTTCGGAATTTCAGTTATTTTTTGAGCCTAGTCAGTTCAGTATAGCAGTACTAGTTAAGTTCAGATTTGAAAATCAGTTAAAATAGAACCCTAAAATGTTCCAGTAAATCCAGTTAAATAATCATTTAGAGTCGAGCATCTTAGCAGCTATTTTTAGTAAGTCTGAGCATAGTACTTAGTATTTGTTTATTTATATATTTTTACAGTTTGAGCAGTCAGCAGACAATCAGCACTTACATTTTCAAATCCAGCAGTAGAGGTGGGGACTCACACTGGGTATTACATTGAGTATAATTACAACTATCATGTTCGAGGTATACATATTCAGTTTCCGCTTAGGGTGGTGGTCAGATATCGTAAGTCCATCTTAAGTTCTAGTGGTGGCTCAGATAGCCGTAATATTTCCACTAGAGTGTGCACATGGTTCTGGTCTAGCTTTGCCGGCGGATTTAGTATCAGTTTCAGTATCAGTACAGTTTCAGTTTCAGATATATACTGTTGATCATGCCAAACATTACATTAGGCCCCACACACAACAATATCGGTCAACTCTCTCTCTCTCTCTCTCTCTCTCTCTCGCACCACCGATAGAAAACCTCATGGCGGCGGTTTACGGTGAAACCACGCCCCCACGGCAGGAGAACAACTTTGGTCCCCGTCGACGTCATACCCTACTCAGCGACACGACATCTGCCATGTAACTCATTGCTGCCAGCGAACCAACTTTATTCGACGTTCTTCCGCCTCTGAATGTCGTCGTTGATCTTCGCTCCCACAGCCGTGTCACCACCGTCATCCTTCCCGTACGTTTCACAAAGGGGGCGACGATGTGTGAGGATAAAATGGCCGATTT